TCATTTTAAGAATAATTTATTTATTTTAACCTTATATATAAACATGCACTATAAAAGTAAATAATATTATTATAACATCAATTTTATTGAGAAAAGTTTCTGGAAAATATGTTTTATTTTATTTTAATTTTGGGGTCTGTCTTGATCAATATAGTTACAGGCAATAGATAGTATTTTAGAACATGTAAATTATTTTTCTTGACTAAAAAGTATGTTCAAGCACTTGAGATAGGAATTAAGGCATACTTTTCTACAATCTGATATTTTTCATGATCGCATACAGCCTTAAATAACATGAAGATGACAAGAATAAAATTCCAAAGTCCTCTGTGCAGATTTATATATGACAATATTTATTGAAATTATAAAATTCTCATAGAACTCAATTAAAATTATATAACTCACTCAAATAACTTAAGTAAAATTAAAAATTACTGTATTCCTACATTTTTAAAAGACTGATGATTATCTTCTCAGTGTAAAGATGATAAAATATTATCCAGCTAATGTTTTAGAAATGTTACTGAAAACTAAAAAACTAATGGATAAAGAAGTTATTATATTATGAGTAGTTAAATCAAATAGTATTAAAAATGAGATTCTCAGCTTTCTAGTTCATACAGTAAAAATTATACCTTTTGTATTTTCATTTACTATAAAAGAGAAATGCACACATTTCCGTTGGAGCTGTGATTTTGATGAGTACACGCAAAACTAAGAATAAAAGTAAGAATATATTAAAAATATGTTAATAATTTGTATTTTAAACTCCTCTCCAAAGAAATTCAAAACACCTTAATCGCTGATTATCTTTTTAAGTTTATTCCTACTTTATTTGTGCTACTTTTAAATAATGTAAAACAGAAAAATACATTTTATGATTGTGTACTCCTGTTAATCTGGGGTAAGAATACATCCTATCTTATAAGAAACTTCAAAAGGCAAATGGACAAGACAGTCCTAAAGGCCTGCAGTGAGAAAGGGATATTCCCTTCCTACTCAGTCCACAAAAACCCCTATGAATAGAGACAGATATACATCAAGTTTATGGAAACAAATGCATATAACTAATCAAAACGTACCGTCTTATAATAACATTGCAAAAAATTTTTTAATTGTAAGTGAAAAAAATTGTTGGCATACTTGTGCTTGTTACTGAAATCATTAATATACTAGAGTATGAAGTTTTGAAGATTGTGGTCTTGAGAACTCATCTGAGTCCCAAGTCAAGAATCTCTTGTGTTAGAGAAGCAGGAATAAAGACAGGTAACAGTTAATGTCTCTAGTAAAGGTATACTTTTTTCCTTTCACCCTTTCATTCTAAAATACTGAAATTCTTGTCGACACTATGATACTTTAGTCCTCTATACCTCTATCTCATTTTAACATATTTGGATTGACTGTAAGCATTTACCATCTGTTTAATTCACTTTTATTGAAGAGACCACGCAGTTATAGCAAAAGGATTCCCTCTGCCAGCATAAAGAACCTAAAGTCAACCCCAATGTGAATCTTTTAAAATTGAACTGTAAAACACTGTGTAAGAATGTATTCCTTTGAAAAATTTATTTTAGTACATCTTATTCTGCTGGCTCAGTATATTTTCTTCTATGATAGCATATTAAAATGACTTGTAGTCATGCTCAAAAAAAAAAAAGTCTGAAAACACAGATGTTCAAACAAAACTGGTTATTCTCCCACCAATGAGAAGTCTCCAGCCTCCTCCCTCTTCTCAGCCAGGCCTTCGTTGAAAACACCTGTTGAAAAGTTACCCTGAGATTTAACAAATAATTCTTGCCAAGCCACGATCAGCAGTTACTCGTGACAATTATTAATGATCTCTACTTGATTTTAGATTTTCATACTAACACATGAAATAATTCACATGGAAATTGCTCCTATGAACAGTGTTTTGTTTTTTTTTTTATAGATTTGTTGTAATGATCTATTTGCCTTACCTATGACAAGGTCTTGGTTCCTATTTTTCAAAATCACTTTCGTAACTTTAAAATAAATAAAATATTCCATTATAACAATGTTGCATTATGAGTCACACTATTGAGGGTACTTTCATCACTAGCCAATTGTTTAAACACTTCATAGACTGACTTGACTTGGGCTGAGAAACTTGGTGAAAACGTCTCTTCTCACAAACCATTCTTTCTACACAAGCTTACGTGATTATTCTGCATCCATTTCCAATAAAAATATTCTTATGCCCAAGAACCTAGGGATCTTAACCATAGCATTTTAGACCCTGTGACTCATAAAAAATCTTTTGAGAAATTTTAATTTGAGTTGTAACATGAGTCTTATAAATCCTAAAGTTCCTAAATTTCATATCACCACTCTTAACCAGTGTATTTCAAAACAACTATGATATTATTTTCATTCCATCATTAGAAATCACTGGGAACATTCTAACCAGCACAGATGCTGGAAAATCAAAATAACCTAGATCTAGTAGATTTAAGTCCAACTGCACTTGTGGATTAAAATTCTTTCAGAAATACACATGAAATTAATAGTGTGTTTCTTCAGCAGGCTGTGTTAAATACACGTTAATAAATGCACTTGAAACAAGATTGTGGGATACCTGAACACTTTAATCTGAGCATGACACTTCAGCACAAAGTGTTTGCAGCATACTAGTTTAAAAAAGAAAGGAAAAAGGAAAGGTCACTGTAATCAATTTCCTTTGTTCTCCATAATAAGCATTGAGAAAAACCTGACACATTTAAAAGGAAATTAACCTATTAGGAATTTTAAAAGTATCCTTTATAGGACTGCAAAAACTCAATAGGAAAAATTAAATAAATAAAGAGTCTGTTTTAACATTGTGTACTGAGGATATTTCCAGGGCAGGAACAGTATGGGAAACTGAACCACTGTGAGAAAAAAAAAAAAAATCAAGAAAAACTTCTTCTGTGTCTTTATGGCTTGAGTTAAGATTTGGGAAGAAAGGGAATAGCAAGGAAGTTCGTCTCTTTTGTTTTCTCTTCAAATTCTCTCTCTCTCCCTTCGTGTGTGTGTGTGTGTGTGTGTGTGTGTGTGTGTGTGTGTGTGATTTTCTTTGGCTCAAGTTTTACTGCTAATGAGAGGAATCAGCTTCAAGAAGAATATGGTGTAAACACAGTATAGGGATGCCTGCCCGCCACCCCCCTAAAACCTCCTGAATACTTCCATCCAAGATTGTTTCTCACTAATCTGACCAGGAATCAGGTTTGCTGAGAATTCTACTGTACAGACTTCATTTTTACTGCACTCTAAATACAAATTCAATTCATAGTACTTGAAGTAGAAGAATAAACATTAGCCCTCTGTGATATCTTTGTAACTGTCAATGGTAAAAATGTAAGAAAGATATGTAACATATGTGTATTTATCAAATGACTACCATAGATCTAGAAATGTGTATTAACATATCTTCCTCTAAAGAAATTATCATAAATACCAGTTTTACACAGATTTTCAGACAAACTACAGTTTTTTTATGGGAGGAATTTCTTGTTCAGTTTTATATAGACCTCCAAAAAAACCATGATTACTGGTGTATAGCAAACACTGTAAAAAGTCGGATATTAATACTACAACTGATACTTTAGTATTCAGTTGCCCATCAAGTACAACAGTCTGATCTACAAGGACATAATACTATTATAGGAAAATATTTTGCTAAGTTTTAGTATTTGTTATACTTATGTTAGAAATTTAGAGATTATGAACTTTTACTATTCTGTTTGAATAATAAAAACATTACTGAATCAAGTGTCATTAAAAGGTGTTTGCTCTTTCAAAGCATAAAACTCTGAACAAATTATTTTCATTTGCCCCAAACTAATCTTTCTCTCAAAATGTCACTTTTAGTTAAACTCAATTGTGCATTTCAAGTATTGCTCATTCAGAGTAATCTGTAGCAACACACATTCATAATAAGCAAGAATTAAGTTTTTCCATGACACAACTCAATAGTGGATAAAAGAAACTAGGCAGTGACTAGACAAACACTATACAGGCACCTGCTGTTGTTAAGAGTCTAGGGTCCATGCTGGGTCAGTGAGGTTTTTTTTTTAATATATCAATAACTTTAAATTATACTATCTAATATATATCATGTAGATATGATGAAGTTACACACAGTATGAAAACTAAATGCATCCTGGAATTATTTTTGGCACAAGTGCCTTTTGTGCAACTTTGCCTCCTGTTTTCAACAGCACAGAGTGAGTCTGCTGTTCTAGTATACTCTTCATACCTCATTGATTCCAGGAAACAACACATGAGGAAAATCACAAAACAAATTTAAACTTTTCACAGAGACTTACTAGTCATTCTCCAGAGCCTAATATTTTCTCAAACTTTTCTAAGACCTTCAGAGCATAATTCACATTTCCAAAGCTTAAGCTACACTAATGCATTACGCTGCAGTTTCAGGTGAAGAATAAATGAGATTCACATCCTTTAAAACACTTTTGAAATATGAAGCTGATTTTTAGGGGTTGTGAAAACTTAGCTCCAATTGATTCAGGCTCTGAAATTCTGACTGGTTTCTATGTTGTACTTCAAGTGGTTAACTTCTTGATAGTTGAGTGAACATTTCTTTTGGCGTCAGATTGTTTTAATGGACTTGAAGTAAATTAACTAAAACAGTATTTTCTCTACACTACAAATCCTTTTTGGGGGGGAAAGAAATGCAAACCAACAAATAGAGTAAAATAAAATATGAATACTTAACATTGGTAACATTTTAAAACCTCTAAAAATAAACTTTAAAATGTAAGAAAAGTAAGACATTTACATCTTGTAGATTTTAGACTACATGGGGAGGGTTATGTATAGAATATCTTCTACACGTAGTGGCATAAGTGTAAATCATTTTCACTTAAAAAAAATTCCCCTCTCACTGCTACTGGCAGTGTGGAGTGCCCTGTTCCAAACATTTCAGGACAGCTCCCAACCAGCAAGAAAGTGAAGTTCCAGTTAGGCTAAAAGTCTCCTACCTGAATTATGGACATCCGAGTGGCCGGGGTCTCGCTCGCATTAGTCCCTTGTCCGGTGAAGCTGGTGTGGCAGCCCGCGTGCCCCTGAGGGACAGTCAGGTTGTTGGAGGCCGGTTTGAGATACATCACCTCCGACCTGGGCGAGCTGAGGGGCAGGCGGGTCTGGTAGTCGAAGTACATGGGGGAGGTAGCCAGGGAGGGGCTGCTCACCACGTTCATGACGTTCATGGCGTTCCTCTCCTCCACCTCGCTCTGCACCAGCATGATATCATTTTTGTTGATCTTCTTCTTCTTGCCCTTGCCCCCGCCCAGCTGCGGGTGGCTGTACTCGGCGATGCGGCAGTTGTAAGTGCGGATCTCCTTGTTCTCGCGCTTGCACTTGACGGCGATGGTGATCATGGCCGCCAGGAGGATGATGGAGATAGTGCTCAGAGTCACGATGAGCGGCAGCGACATGTCCCAGTGGTGCTGCTCGCCGTTCACCCGGGGCACCCCCTCGGGCAGGGAGCCGCTCACCGAGCGGATGATGAGCTTGGCCACTGCGGACAGGGTGGGCTTGCCGTGGTCAGTCACCTTCACCACCAGCTCCACCACCGGCGTCACGTCCTCCCAGAAGGGGTGAAGCGTGCGAATCTCGCCGCTGGACGGATCGATTTCAAACAGGTGGTCGTCGTTACCATCTACGATCTCGTAGGTGAGGCGCCCGCTCTCGCCGAAGTCGCTGTCAAGGGCGCGCACGGTGCTCACCAGGTAGCCCAGCCCAGCGTTCCGCGGCACCTGCAGCTCAGCCGTGTCGTTCTGCAGCGTGGGCAGCACGATCACCGGAGCGTTATCATTCACGTCTAGCACAGTCACCCGAACAGTGGCGTTGCTCTCCAAGTGCGCGGGCGCGCCGGAGTCCTTAGCGAGCACCTTGAACTCAAAAGCTTTGGTCTGCTCATAGTTAAAGGAGCGCAGGGCGTAGATGGCTCCGTTGGTGGGGTTCACAGACACATAGGTGTAGATGGACACGTCGCCGATGTGCGAGGGCAGGATAGAGTAGGACACTGTGCCGTTTTGGCCCAGGTCGGGGTCCTGGGCGAGCACAGAGCCCAGGTACTCTCCTGGGATGTTGTTCTCGTGCACCTGCAGCACATAGAGTCCCTTGGTGAAACGAGGAGGGTTGTCATTCTCGTCCAAAATCTTGACGGCGAACGACTTGGTGGAGTTGAGTGGAGGAGAGCCCCCGTCCCGCGCCACAATCGTCACGTTGTACTCGTCTTGTGTCTCGCGGTCCAGCGGGCGGTCAGTCACCACGGTGTAGAAGTTGTCGTAGTTCTCCTCCAGCTTGAAGGGCACAGAACCTCCCGGCCCGCCCAGGCCGCCGCCGCCGCCGCCCGCCCCACCTCCGCCCAGGACCCTGCACTGCAGCTGCCCATTCTTGCCCGAGTCTCGGTCAGTGACCCGCACCAGGGCGATGACGGTGCCGGGCGGGGCGGCCTCGCTCAGCGCCCCCTGGCGCACGGAGACGAAACCGATGGACGGCGCGTTGTCGTTGCGGTCGATGAGCTTGACAGTGACCTTGCAATGGGCCGGGATGGGGTTGGGACCCATGTCTCGGGCCTGTACATCGATCTCCAGCATCCCATTCTCCTCATAGTCCAGGTTGCCCTTGACACGGATCAGGCCGGTCTTGGGGTCAATGGAGAAGAGCTCCCGCACGCGGTCGGGTACATAGCTGCTGAAGGAGTAGATCACTTCGCCGTTGGGACCCTCGTCGGCGTCGGTGGCGTTCAGGTCAATGACCACGGTGCCCAGCGGGGCGTTCTCGGGCAGCTCTACCAGGTAGGAGGGCGCCTCGAAGACCGGGCTGTTGTCGTTAGAGTCAATCACCTTCACGTTGATCTGCACGGTGGCGGAGCGCGGCGGCTCGCCGCCATCCAGGGCGGTCAGAACGAGCGTGTGGTGGTTCTGCTGCTCGCGGTCCAGTGCCTTCTGGATAACTAGCTCTGGGAACTTGGTGCCGTCGCCGCGGGACTTGACGTCCAGCGCGAAGAGGCCGTGGTCGTCGCGCGTAAGCAGGTAGGTGCGGAGCCCGTTCTCACCCGCGTCCGGGTCGTGCGCGCTGGTGAGAGGGAAGCGGGTGCCGGGGGCCGCGTTCTCGGAGATGTCCATCTCAATCTGGTCGGAGGGGAAGGACGGAGCATTGTCGTTGATGTCCTGGATCTCCACCTTGATCATGCAGATCTCCTTGTCGTTGGCAAACACCTCGAGGGACAGCTGGCACTTGGCATTGTGGCGGCACAGGGACTCGCGGTCGATGCGCTGCTTGGTGTACAGGAGCCCGCTGTCGGCGTCCACGTCCAGGAGGTGCGGCGCCGAGTTCTCCAGCACCCGGTAGCTACCAGACTTGCTGCGCCCGCCGCCGCCGCCGCCACCGCCGCGCTCTGCGGGCAGAAGCCCAGGCTGCAGTCGAGCATCCTTGCCGATGTTGCCGATCACCGTGCCGGCCCCTTGCTCCTCCGGTACGGAGTAGTTCAGGTTTTTGAGCGTCAGGGCAGGGGCCCATAGGAGGAAACAGCAACAGATGGAAAGGTACATCCCAGACCGGTGGGGTGTTGGCAGAAGCAGCCGGACTGGAGGGGCGAATGGATGGGTGCGCGCCAGCTTGGGGCAGTGTGCGCGCGCGACGCGAACCTCAAGTCTGTGGGTCCTTCCTTCCTTCCGCTCCCGGGCTGCTGCACCTGGCGGTCTCTCCTTATTCCTCTCAAGTTCCCCGAACCTGTTGATCTACAGCATCCGCACTGGGCGAGAAGCAGCAGCGCAGCGGAGCCGCAGGGGCACTGAGCAAGGCGGAGGCTCCCTGCGGCTGGGGGCGAGCCCGGGGCTTTGTCTCTCCCGCCGGGACTTCGGGCGACTCAAACTTGAGCGATGAGACCAGCGATAAGAAGGAAATAGCGTCTGGGAAGGATGATAATGAGCTAAAGAATCCGTAGGTTTTCCTCGCTCCCGCTAGGGCGCTGCAAATCCACTTCTGCCTTTTGCCTCCGGAATACTCTTCACATCGGGTGGGGGAGGGAGCGGGGAGGTGTGTCTCCAGGCAGATCGGAAAGTGAAATCCTTACTTGTTTCTCGCCTCCTGTGATGAAATTGATGGGGATGAGGAACAACGAAAAGAGTCAGATATATTTTCAAGCTTCCCCGGAGCCCTGTGAAATGTCTGCTTGCTTCGCGGGCTGGACTGTTTTCAGGCAGTGTTTTGCTGCATTTAGAGATCTAATCTTGCATTGCCGGCTGAGGCGGCGGCGGCGGCGGCGGACTGCATCTCCCAGCCAAGATTTCTCTCTCTCTCTCTCTCCCTCTTCTTTCCGAGCAGCCAAAGGGAGGGGAGGAAATGCAGCGCAAAGAACTAGTGTTCCGATTTGTAGTTTCCTCCCTTTCCCAGGCTCCTCCCTCTCTTCCTCGGAAAAGGCTTTCCCCCAAGCCAAGAAAGCCACAGTCTGATCAGCGTTTGTGGTGTGAGTCTACTGGGAGGAGAAAAATATATAGATATATCTCCGCCTCTGTTCGTAGAACACACTCCGTGATTTCTCTACGCCAAGCCAGTAGCCGCCGCTACCATCCCATTCTCTCCCCGCGAGCCAGGACTTCTCTAGATGCAGTTTAATTCCAGTTTTCTTTTCTTCCCAGACGAAAGGAAATCAACAGGCAACTCATGGTTGGATGTGCAGATTTGAAAGGGGAGGGGGAGGCGGAATAAAAAGGAAGGGGAGCCACCCTCCCAGTGCTCGCACACACACTCTCCCTGTCTCTCGTTAGAAGGGAAACAGTCTCTGCATTCACAGGGCTGGGCTGTCAAGTGCCTCTCTTTTCTTTCTATTCAGCATCTCCTTCCAATGGCCCTGCCTCCCAGTCCTCTTCATCTAGAAAGGAAAACCTTGGCGAGAAATAAAAGTGAATATTTGAAGCGAATAAAGTGCGGGTTTTTTTTTTTTGCTTCAATTTTTTCTATAGTAGGAGGAGTGGGCTGGATGAAAGGAACACATCAAGGTTTGGCGTGATGCTTTCTGCAGTCTCGCTCATACAGTCTGGGCGACTCGCGAGGGCAGCGGGCGAGGGGCTGCGGCCGCAGCGGTCCAGCCTGGGGCGCCCACCCCGGGGAGCTGCCGCCCGGGGGATGTTAGGCACAGGTCTGTCTATACATTATTTCGAGTTCTCGAGGCGCCTCGACATACGGGAATGACACATCCAGAAATGCAGGTGTTCCGATCTGCCCGATGAGTCAGAAGCAGCGGAACGAATCGTATTCACTCTCGCCTCATGGTCCTCCCTTCACAGACATTAGTTGTGGCTTCTTTCTAACGCTTTCTCTGACTCACTCTACAGAAAGAAAAGCCAGATTCATGTTTTGGTGAAAAAGGAAAAAAAAAAAAAGCGAGAGAAGGGGAGGGAGGGAAGGGGGAAGGTGAAGCTGAACCCAGCAGCACTTTTACTCTACCTCTTTCTGCCGGAGTCCGAGGCTCTGGAAAACAAGGCGTCTGTTTTGCTAGGTGTGTGTATTTATTTTTTAAAACCTTTCCTTTTGGTTAGGCGTGAGGAACCCACAAATCTTTCAGAGTCTTAGGAAAAAAAGAAAAAAAATCAGGATTACAATGACTGTTCAAAGCTTAGCCCCGCATCACAGTTCACGGTTTTCCCCTGTGTTCTCTATTCACAAAGTCCAGCACCGGCGTGCGTAGTTAATTGTGCAGTCCGTTGTGGAGGGTTTTTTTTTTTCCTCCTTTTCTGTCACGGGTGGTCTCTTTCAGTCTGGTGCCTGTCAGGATCAGCTCACAGCCTGCGAAAGACGTGCGGATTTCAAAGCAAATAAATCCATCTCCGCAAGCAAAGCTTCGGTGGAAATGAAAAGGTGAAAATTCAACAGTTGGAGTAGCGTCTCCCCAGCCGCCCTCCGCGCTGCCGCATCCGCCGGGCTCGCAGTCCCTGCTCTCTCCCCAGCGCTTCTTGCTGACTGACTCTATTCACCTCACGCCGCCGCTTAAACATTGATACTGATTCCCTGCCAGCCAATCCGCGTGAGGAGCAAGGCCCTGCCCCCTCGGCCCGCGCCCAATGGAAGGAGGAGGAGAGACTGGCGGGGGCGGAGCCCGAAGCCCCAGAGCTTCCGAGCCATTGATTAGATCAGTTAGATGGGAGACCCGTCGGGCTAGTGGAGCCCTGCGCTCCGCCGTGGCGGCAGCGCCCAGGGCCTCGCCGCAGGTTCTCCCGAGTCCTTAACTACCAAGAGAAGCGCCTCCACCGTCTTCCTCTGGAAAGGAGTGAATTAAAAAAAAAAGTTTGACAGCAATTTATTTATTTTTTTTATCCAATGTACACGGGAACTGCAATCACAGCGTGCTTGCAGAATAAGGTAGCTGCAGTCTTCCTTCGGTACACACACACACACACACACACACACAGACGCACACACACACACTCCCCGGCACCATCCAGCCACCCATACCAAGAGAGGCGCAGATCTTCCGGCTGCGCGTGGACTCGTCTCCAATGAGGTGCAGAGCGGTGTGCGTGTGTGTTTGTGTGTGCGCGCGCGAGGCGGGGGGGTGTTTCTGGGGAGTGTGTTGTGCATTTCAGTGAGCGTGTGTAGACCCGAGGGTGCTAGCGTGCCGGCTTCTGCCTACGCTGGTGCAAACAGCTGCGAGCAACAGCAATCAATATGTAACTTTCTCTATCCTCAGAGAAAAATCAGCTGTCCCCAGGCACCCTGGCAAGGAAAGTCACTTGATTATGAAAGTGTTTCAGAAGAAAAGCAGAAGCCCAGTGAAAGAGAGGCCGTGTCTCCCCAGAGGAAAAATGCCTCTCCCTTAAGGAGAAAGGCTTAGGGTCAATTCAATCTTTGTAGCTTGTTAAAACTCAAATCCGGCTAAATAATACTTAGGGCTTTACCCTTGTGAGACTCTAGCAACTCTGCCCAAATACAAAGTAAAGTGAACATCCATATACTCACTCACAGTAGTTCTGGTGTATTGTTTACCTTGATCTTGTTATTAAAGCTCCACATGGCAGTTTGAATGTTATCTCCTTAAGACTAAATAAGTCTTGATGACCACATTTGCCAAAGCCCCTATGCCTAGAAGCCGAACTAAATGTAAAGGCAGATCAGTGGGAGATCGCAGGTCAGTGGGAGATTTGTTAAAATTCATGCTTTCTAAGTAATAATACCACCACCACTACCAACACACACACACACACAGAGAGAGAGAGAGAGAGAGAGAGAGAGAGAGAGAGAGAGAGAGAAGAGAGAGAGAGAGACTCATGATTCATCTACTTCTTCTACAACTGCAGTTCCTAATCTCAGAGATTCTTTCTCCCCAGTTATCACAAACATCTACAAGCGAGGACTGCTTTGCTCCTTCTCCAGCCATTCTGGGAAAGAGTTAAGAATGTGAGAAGAAAATTGAAGTATTGAAATAGAAAAGGTGAATGTTTTAATTGCTAGAGTATTTATTGATCACAATTCATAAATACTAAAGTTAAGTTGCCATTTATAAATTGTGAATGACTAACGTACGAATCTGTAACATGAAGCATTCAAGGTTAAAAGAAAATCAAATCCAGACCAATTACAAGAAAGTTCTGATGACTGTTGTTGGGATAATTGCTTAAAGATTCAGGCCAAGGAGCTATTTATTTCTCAGAGGATTCAATGAGATAACCTATAATGTGAATTTGCAGTCTGATCTGGATCCAAAATTCACCCCTCCCTTAACAGACTAACTTTAACAGTTTAAAAATTCAAAGAGGAGCCAGACCATCAAATCCCAAAATGTCGTTGTATTTTCTAAATAGGTAGCTTGTCTTGCATTTGCCTTTGCTAAAGAGGGGAGTTAGAGCTTTGTAGAAGTCTGGGTTGTTTTATGGAGCACGTTCCTAACTGTACTGCCCCATGAAACCTCACCTGTACATTTCTCAGGGGTGGTCCCAGTGCATGTTTCTTGGAAGCTGAGGTTTTGAGGCTTTAAAGGCAGCAGCTAGCAAATCAAGAGTAGAGGTTACAAACTCATTTATTAATCATTACCTTTTAAATATGACAAATCTATATTTTTCTTGCATTCCATACTAATTCAAGGAAACTCATAAAATATCCTTACTTGAGGTTTACAATAATGCAAAAACAAGAGAATGAAAAAGTTCCAAGAAAAGGGTATTATGCTCCATTGATTATCTTTAATTAGATGTGCTGTTACGCAAATGAGGGGAAAACACAGTGTCTAAGAGACCAGTAAAATGAAACATCCTCATAGACACCAATTTGCCCACCACTCCTCCAGAGTAATTGTGTCACACCTCCCCCTAGTGCACAGAAAGAGAACTACCATGCATATGGTAAATACCATGGGGTGCCCGCCAAAGGGAGCAAAACAGAACTGCTACTTATCAGGTATCTTATTTATATATTAATTCATAGTATTGAGTCTCTATTGTTAAAGACTGATATGTACTCACAATAATTAATTTTCATCTTTCTATCCCATCTCCATTTTATTTTAATAGAAATGGAATCAATTGATACTTCCAATTGTTTGGCTTCTCTTTAACCAGACACAATTTTTAAAACTATAATCTCTCCTAATTTTTAACCATCTCATAGATTCTATTTTCCACCAGATTTTTTTTTGTTTACAATATAATTATTGAGGAATTTCACTTTAACTAATCTTAAAATATTGAGCTCAATTTTTTTTAAAAGAGATGATATAAATACTGTTAAATAGATCAAAGATCCTATTAGTTTTTATACTATAGTAGGCAATGGACATAGAGATCTAGTTGAGAAATTCAGAAGACCATAGAGTTGAGCATAACTCATGATAACTACAATCTCATATTTCTCAAGAAAAGCCTGATTGATAATCATTAGTGATTACAAATGATAGCCTCAACCTTAAAGCAAAATTATATTCTTCCTTTGTTGTCACACATGTATTGAACAGCCAAAGCTCTTGTGTGATTTAATCAAAATATGTATGCACATTCTTTGAGACAAAGTCCTTGGAAATATTTATATAAACATAATATTACTTAATAAGATATGATGCTAGTATAGGTGAGTTTTCAAATAAATTGATTATGTTGGAATAGCTTCAGAGAAGTATTGAGGTCTATTTTTATAGCCTGATAAAGGCTGGTTAATACTGTTAATTAAATTTTAATTGAATATTATTATTATCAAGAAATGCTCTTAAAATGCTATGTTATGATTTTTTAATTTAAGTTATTTATTTACTTATTTGTTTAATTAAACAAAATTTTTAACTTATTTAACTTTGCCTCAGAGAGATTCTTTAAATTTCATATTGACCAGGTGTAGCTGTAATCCCGAGAGTTTATGCACACAGCCATAATGGCAGTAGTTATGATGATCTTCCAAAACTTGCCCTGCTTGCTATATTTCTGAGTTCAATAAAATACAGTTCTTTAGAGACACTTTTGATGCTGATATTTTCAACATAGCCACTGTTTCTATGTCTGCAAAATTCTCTCTCCACTATTTCCTTCTCCGTCATTTTCACCATTGTTTCACTCTCTGGTTTCATATATTTTTATTTAACAGAGAAGCTTCAAAAATAAATTTCACGGTTAAACTGTTTTAGATGTAATAAGTATCAGAGGTTGCCATATCATATTTAAAGCCACAAGTGAATGATAGTATTTCATTCACAATTAGTTCTCTGAGTTTCCATTATGTGTTAGATGTATTTGAGGCCCACCTCTAACACACGGCTATTGGCCAAATGCTGACATTTAATCAAAGTCTTCCTTTGAACCAAAGACAAATTCACACTATTAACAGGACAATCACTAAAACATATTTTTCTCCTTTATGATATATATAAATCATAATAAAGTCATGCAGATTAAGTATAACCTTTAAGTTTTCAAAGAAATATTTTATAATTTAAAGGTTTTTGAGAACAAAATCTCTCCTATATACGAAAAATTGTAAAATAGTTCCATAAATAAACAGTATATTAAGTTGAATGTTAATTTTTCTCATGTTTATTAAAATTATTACATCTTGCTGGTAGAAAAATATTTATTAGGAAATGATATATTTTAATTTTCCTGCATATTATATGTATGTTTTACTACACTATAACATATATGTATACAAGTACCCTTTTCCCACACATAGGAAGTGAATTCCCAGTGAACAGTCAAAGTCAAAGTGACAGGATTAACCTTACAAAAACAAGGAAGTTCTATAAATCTGAAATTCACATAATAAATGAACTAAATTTCCAGCAGGCACACAGCCATAATGTATTTTCCATATATATCTAAGTATGTAAATCAGAAAGGAATATTTATAAATTAGTGGAGAATGATCAGGTTTTGAACAAGGACGCAACTTCAGGATATTTATTTTAAAGTCTTGGCACTTAAATAAGAGTTAATTTAATATTTTTGTATTTAAGTTTTACAACCGAAAATTATTTGGTGTGTTTTAAATAAATTATGTGAGTGCACTTGTGTGTGTAGAGTACCTGAAAGAGAGGCCGTACAGGGACAGGGATTGTCAGACCAAAAAATATGTTACATTATATCTGATATATTAGTTAGCATATATTAAAAAGAGGCATTGAATTACATTGTGCAAAATATAATTCTGAGAAAAATTATCTTGAGCTTCATAAGTTTCAGATGGCATATTTATATCTTCTCCTGTCTTAGCCAGAAATAAAAGGGTGCAATTAATTATGAAACCCCAACACTCCTGCCCCATAAGAATTTACCTGCTGGCTCCCCCTTGTGGCCACGTCGACAATTTAAAAAAAAAGGCATTTGTTTCGGAAATTCCCTTCATAAGAGCAAAATTGGGCTTGTTCCATCTTTGTATACTAGTTTTCAAAACAAATGAAAAGCTTATGAATGAAATAGTTAATTTATAGATGTGACTGCTGGATTGTTAAAATGAAGTGACTGAAGCTGGAAATAAAAATAATAAGTATGCCATGCATGGTACAGCAATCCCATTGTTTCTT